AAGTGAGACTGATAAATAAGTAACAAAGATTGTATCAGATCAGCATTTAGGTCTTATTTAACCGTTTCTTTCATTTGATACATCATATAATCTCTTAATGCATGCTTTTAAGATCATTAAAATTGTTAAATCTATTGTTTATATTTATCTATTTTTCCAATTTGCTTATATTCTTATTTTTCCTGTTTTATCTATGATTTTTCTATAATCTTATATTTCTCTATTTCTAGAATGATTCATTCAGTTTCATTTCTATCTTAGTTTTTCATTTGTCAAAGTGAATAGTTTTCATTATAGAATGTATAACAAATGGCGCCTTTTCTCTGCAGCTGAATTTTTTTCCCAGGCACTTCAAAAAGGAACCCTAGCCTTTGAATTTGAACTTACTAATGGCAAACCATTTTATTTTAAAATATATATATAAACCATGTTCTTTAAAAAAGGAAAATACAAAATAGAATTGAAAAATAAAAATCTGTGGTGTATACTTTTGTTCAGGATTTTTGTAATACAAGTTACTTTGAATATAATTGTAACAGCATAATTTTTATTTACTTATTTTATTAAGAGTGTCACATGTTAATTATGAGGTTATCAGAAACATCATTTAATGGCCATGTATTATAACATTAATTAATTAGCCAGGACTCTTATCCCATTGTCAGGCAATTATCACATTAAATTTAAAAAGTGGTTGCAAGAAAGACTAGCACTGTTTTGACAGGAAGGTTAAATGCAAACTCAGTCGAACAGTAGACATTTTGAATCTACTTCTAAAGTTTAATAATACCCAAGTGCAGGCCGGATGCGGTGGCTCACGCCTGTAATCCCAGCACTCTGGGAGGCCAAGGCGGGTGGATCACGAGGTCGAGAGATCGAGACCATCCTGGCTAATACAGTGAAACCCCGTCTCTACTAAAAAATACAAAAAAAATTAGCCTGGTGTGGTGGCAGTTGCCTGTAGTCCCTGCTACTCGGGAGGCCGAGACAGGAGAATGGTATGAACCCAGGAGACAGAGCTTGCAGTGAGCCGAGATCATGCCACTGCACTCCAGCCTGGGCAACAGAGCGAAGACTCCGTCTCAAAAAAAAAAAAAATAATAATAATAATACCCAAATGCAGGTTTTCCAACCTGTTTCCCCCCAAAAAAAATTAAATTTGGAAAAGATATATTCTATAAAAAAAAAAAAATTATATCACACCAATTACTTAAATTCCCCTCACTCTGGGTCGAGTTTTTAAATACTATTAATAGATGAAAATCTAGACTACTGATGTAAAACATGCATACATAAATATTACTACACAGAACTTGATAGCATATACCATTGGTAGTTAGTATAGCATAGTAGTTAAGAGCCCAGGCTAAAGTGAGACTATGTGGGTTGGAATCCTGGTTCTACAATTTACTAGCTTGTGACTCTGGGTGAGTTACTGAAGCTCCCTATGCCTTCAATTGCTCATCTCTAAAGTGGGATAATAATAACCATCTCAAAAGGTAGTCAGGAGAATTCACTGAGTTCTTTTTTGTTTGTTTGTTTGCTTTTTGTTTTTTGCTTTTTTTGAGACAGAGTCTCACTGTCACCCAGGCTGGAGTTCAGTGGAGTGATCTCGGCTCACCACAACCTCCGCCTCCCAGGTTCAAGGGATTCTCCTGCCTCAGCATCCCGTGTAGTTGGTATTACAGGTGTGTGCTACCATGCCTGGCTAATTTTTTTTTTGTATTTTTAGTAGAGATGGGGTTTTACCATGTTAGCCAGGCTGGTCTCAAACTCCTGACCTCAAGTGATCTGCCCACCTTAGGAGTTCTTATTTGTAAAGTTTCTTGGCACACAGTAAGCACTCTATAGCTAGCATTTAGTTGGTTAAAATTTTTTAACTTTAGCTAACATTTACTGAGCACTTACTATGTGCTAAATTAAATGCTTTACATGAATTTGCCTCAAATAATCTTCACAAAAACCTAGGATGAGGCACTGTTATTGCTCCCATTTAAAGATGAGAAAACTGAAGCAAAAAAGATTAAATTATTAGGCCAAGGCCATACAAGTAAATGTCAGAGCAATAATTTGAACTCAAATCTAGCAGCATGGCCTACAATTTTAACATGGGTTATAGAATACACTATATACTAGAAGCAGTAGCCTCCTGCAGTACTCTATTTTGAAAAGAGGGCAGGAGAGTCACAAGAGACTTTGCTGAAATAAACTAGAATATTCCAAGAAATAATTTATAAACTATTTCTTGGAATAAAATAGAGTAATTAAAAATTAATATAAGAAATAACTCACTGTCATACAGAAATATTTATATATGAAGTGATATGATGCTTGATATTTGTTTTAAAATAATCCAGCTTGGGAGAGAAGAAGGGATAAAAGAAACAAGATTAGATTGATAATGGTGAAACTGTGGTGACAGGTATATGGGGGTTCATTATTTTATTCTCTCTACTTTATATATTCTTTAAAATGTCAATAACAAAAAAGAAATAGCAACAAGGTGGCAGAGATTAGACACTTCATTACAGAAGCAAACAACTTCTTTTTTTTTTTTTTTGGAGTCTTGCTCTGTGCCCCAGGCTGGAGTGCAGTGGCGCGATCTCGGCTCACTGCAAGCTCCGCCCCCCCGGGTTCACGCCATTCTCCTGCCTCAGCCTCCCGAGTAGCTGGGACTACAGGCGCCCACCACCTCGCCCGGCTAATTTTCTTGTATTTTTAGTAGAGACGGGGTTTCACCGTGTTAGCCAGGATGGTCTCGATCTCCTGACCTCGTGATCCGCCCATCTCGGCCTCCCAAAGTGCTGGGATTACAGGCTTGAGCCACCGCGCCCGGCCGCAAACAACTTCTTTAAGACTCCCTATCTCAAAAAATTTTAAAGGACATGACATAATTGATACTTATACATGTTATATTTTATATATAATTTCCAAAAGGGTAGCCTTACTTTAAATAATTGAGAATCCTCTTAACTAAAATGAAAAATTAACAAAAGTATTTAGGCATAAACATGTAAATAAACATGCTAAATGGTTGTATTTCCATCAGCTCACTAAAAATATTTGCTTAAATAATTAACACTCATTTTTTTTTCATGTCTTTCTCCTCCCTGATCATCTCTGTGATTATGACACTCTATGGTTTGTTGCCCAGGAAATGGGATGGGTTTGTACAGACAAATATGTCTCTACAACATGGTCACAAATTGAATACGAATAAAAATCAGAAATCTGCTTCACTAAGAAACACTGCTAAAAATTTCTCACTTCAAATTGTAGTTTTAAAAATATTTGATTTTCATACTAATTTGTATCTATGGGCTGGTTATATGTACAAAACAAATATAACCAATTGTTAATTTGAGAACATTTTATATGCTCTAAATTATACTGTTAAAAAAATTTAGCTGATACTAAAGGAAAAAACTAACATTAATTAAGCTAGACGCTATACTAGGCAATTTAATACACATTGGCTCACTAAATTTAAGAGACAGCTACATTTTAACAGGAAGAATATTAAAGTTTAGAGAGGTAAAATCCCTTGCCCAAAGTCATAGAACTAATAAGTAGCTAAGTTGGTATTCAAATTTAAGCTCAACTACAGAACCCACTTTCCCCCCACTATCCCAGACTACCTCCATGGGAGGCAAAAATCTTCTCAAGTCAAACTTAAATATTTAGGGCCTTTTTAAAGTAGACCATAAAATGTTTGTTACTGGTTACATGTGTATTTCACGATGGCCGCTTGGCTCTGGATAAAGAACACTAACGCGAATGCAGAAAGTATTATTTCTTCTACTGTGAGACTTTTTTTACTTTTTTTTTTTTTTTGGTTTCTTAATTTCAGCCTTAGTTTCTCTTCTCAATGGGGAAATTAATATCTTTGCTGTCCAATTCCAGAATTATAAAGATTTAAAGATGATATATGTGAAATCACTTCAAAATCTACAAAAACACAGAATATTTTGTCTTAAAATGTTATAACACACACACACACACACACAAAGCCAAAAGTTGTCTAAAGTAAGTGTAAGCTGTTTAAACTAATCTACAAACTCTATTAACATTTCCAGAACTTTCTAAAACCCCTTTTTCTAAGCACAGCTCAATCATAATCACTATTACTGGGCTTTCCTTACCCTTAAGTATAATTCAGTAGTAATGGCATCAATGATTTTGCAATAAATAATTAACATATCATTTTGAAATGCTCAGCATATAAATGTTCTAAATTCTGAATTTTCAAACTAATTATGTGTTTGGTGTCACTCTTTTATATTCATGTTAATGTTTGGGCCTTTTCACATTCTATTTTGTGTATAAAAAGCTAAAATGAAGGTCTGGAATTCTAAAGTAGAACACTCAACACATAATTTAAAATGATTTTTTTTCAATGTTTCTCAAAGCAGATATAATAGCCAACAAGCACATCAAACGCAGCAACAAAATCCATTGAAACATTCAGCTGCTCTAAAAGAAGGATCAGACTCTTAAGGAGAAAACGACATTGTGTGAGTTTGCAAAGTTTCATACTTTCCCATTTAAACTCCATTTCAGAGAAACCTTTGCATACTAACACAATATGCTTTAAAATGGTACTTTGCTGACCTTCCAATAGTCCAGCTCTATGAAAATTCTGTGATGGGTGTAACTTCAGAGAATCTGAAAAACACAAAAAGCGTTACGTACTTTTTATGCTGAATGAGGGAAAAAATGCCAAGGATAGCATACATCTCTTATATAACGGCAATGTGTGTAGATATATATATTTTGTGTGGGGGGGGTGGGGACGGAGTTTCGTTCTTGTTGCTCAGGCTGGAGTGCAATGGCAGGATCTCAGCTCACCACATCCTCCGTCTCCCAGGTTCAAGCGGTTCTCCTGCCTCAGCCTCCCGAGTAGCTGGGATTACAGGCATGCGCCACCACGCCCAGCTAATTTTGTATTTTTAGTAGTGACGGGGTTTCTCCATGTTGGTCAGGCTGGTCTTGAACTCCCAACCTCAGGTGATCCAACTGCCTCGGCCTCCCAAAGTACTGGGAATAAAGGCACGAGCCACCGCGCCCGGCCAACTGCAATGTATTTTTAAGCGCTAAAGCCCATATTTGTGAATATATTCCCCGCAAAAGAGGCTGAATTGTCTCTATATTGGACTCTAAGCTAAACTTAGATTTTCATAAAGTATGTTTCATGGAAAATTATCTGATGATTACTGCCCAAATGGTGTTAATGTCTTGACTATTTTTAGCATTCAATTCTAACACATTAGCCCTGCTTTAAGAATCATCTCTTGATATGCCTTTTTTTTTTTTTTGACATTCAAAACTACAATATTTCTAAAGTACTTCAGGTAATGTTGCCCAGAAAACAACCTACAGGATGGTGGCTGCCAACTAAAGTCACTGGAGCAACAGACAGTGGCTACAGTTACTAAGTAGGACTCTGTGTACAAAATCAATGGTCAGTCTGTAAAGTCCAGTACCTTTCAGAGTAAACCATCTCACTCTGACTCACTTAAACAATTTAGATACACTAGTATGAAGGTGAAGTCCCTTTTTTGGAGGGGGTGGAATAAGCAAACGGATGGATACATCAAACCAAAAGCAGAAGAAACACCTACATTTTTTTTCTTCATACGCTGAAATGAATAGTTAACAACCCAGTTACGTCTTTTGCCCCCTCCCGGTGGTTTAAAAAGCGGTGAAGAGCGCAGTGGGAGTATTTTGGTTTTGATGCCCCTTGCACAGGGAACCTGTTCTGACACATTCTTGTGGTGTCCAGTATAGGAATTTCACCTGAGTAGAGATCTGCTCCAGTGCTAATATTTCAGATGCTGGGAATCCCCTGCAGGCCTTAGCCAAAAGAGTTCTTAAATGAAAAATCTCTGTCCTGAGCTCCCTCCTGCAACCAGCCTTTGAACAGAAAAGCAGAGAAAATTCTCAAAGGACAGCGTCTGTGCCTGGGCTGGTCCTCCTGGGAGAGGAGAGGAATAAAACCAATCCAGAGAGGGCACCCCCATCTTTGTAAAGGAGAAGGGAGAAGTAATTAGAATGCCACGGAGGTGGGAAGAGAAAAAAAAGAAAAAAAGAAAATTCGGGCCCTTTCCAGCAAGAAGATGACGAGGAAAGGAAGAACGCCTGGTCGAGGGGGGCTGTCCCAACATGGGGAGGGAGTGGACTAGGCCGGAGGGAGAGGGGGTGGAACGACGGCGCACAAACAAGCTGGAAGGGGAGGAAAATGGTGACCCTGCACCCAGAACCGGCTCCAGGCCACGCCGCCCGCTTGGGGGCAACTTTGCTGGGGAGGAGGGTGCCGGTAAGAGAAGACGCGGCGACCCGATCGCGGTGGCCCCAAAGCGGGGCCCAGTCTGGGGCCATCCCCGAGCCCGGGAGGCCGGGGCCGGCGGCTCGCGGAGCCTGGCGGGGCCGGACGGGCTGAGAGCGGCTGGGAGCGACCGATGCCGCAGAGCCCCGGGGGCCGACGGAATCTGGGCCCCGAGCGGCCGGCGGCTCCGCGGGGGAGGGGCCGCCACTGCTCCGCCCGCCCCCTCCACCGTCACCCCGACCCCTTCGGCCTCTGCCCGCTCCGGCCAGAGAAGCCATCGGGATGGCGGCTCAGCGGCCCCGGGCTCCGACGGGGACCCCTCGCCTTCCCCGGCCCTGTCTCCCCGCCCCCACGCCCCACCCCCCAGCCTGACTCACCTCGCGAGTACAGGGACTTGGGCGATTCCAGGTCTAGGTCCGCGCTGAGCAATGAGATGAAGTCCGAGGGCATCGCAGCTCGACCCAGCCCGGCCCGAGGGCAGCGGGAGGGGGGGAGCGGCGGTGGCGGCGGCACCTCCTCTCCGAGACCGCGGGCACCGAACCGGGGGCGACGAGGCGAGGGCGGCTGCAGCTGCCTCCTCCTCGAGGGTAGTGACTTCCACCGGGCCGAGGACCGAGGAAACGATGGCGAGGTGGAGGGTGAACTCCACGGGGACTGATTCTCGGTGGCCAGGAGAGGGTTCAGGGCGGGGAAGGGGAAGGGAGAGAGCCAAAGGGTCCGTTTCGTGCTTCTCCTCAGCGAAAACTGACGGTCGCCGCCACCGCCGCCGCCGCTGACAGGAATCTGAGCCCCGCCCCCCGTGGGGCACGGCGCAGGCGCGGAGGGGGGGCGCCCGGGAGCGCGGAAGAGCCGCGGCGGCCCCCGGAGGGCGGGGAGGCGCGCCAGGGAACAGCAGCAACAAGGGCCTCGCTTCCTGCCGCCGCTGCCCGGGTTGCTGTTCCCGAGCCGGGGAAGGGCCCCGCTGCCAGAGTGGGAGGGAGGCTGGGAGGTGGCCGCGCGCTGGGGCCCCGGGGAGGGAAAAGGTATTTGCAACGACCTGGTGGCGGCGAGCCTGAGGCGGCCAGCCCCGCGCCGAACCGAGCGCAGGAGACAGAGCCGGGGGAAGCGAGGTGTCCGCGCGAGCCGGGGACGGACCCCAGAGGCCGGCTATGGACGGGCCTGGCTGGCCCAGGGTCTCGCAGGGGGCCGGAGTGTCATCGCCCGGACAGCCACCAACCCTTTGGGGTTTTCATAGCAGTGTCTACAAAGGGACTGTCAAACCCATTTCTTAATTAGGAAATGGCAAACGGTATCCCAAAAACCTCGAGTTATTTATTTTTAATTAAAGTACTTTCTCCCCCAACACTCCCCTCCCACCTTTGGAGACTGACATTTTTTTTATAAAACGGTCTCTCTGATTGTGCTGGGGCATCCGGGTTATTCGGAGTGGGACATAGAACACAATTAAAAAATTGGATCATGTGAATCCACCTGGCTGTTTTAGAGGAAAAATAAAAAGTAAAAAGCAAACCTCAGCGCTACTCATCCAAACAGTTTTTCTTTTTTCTTTCTTTTTTTTTTTTAACTTTTGTATTAGGCAAGGATGGAGGAAGAACGCGTTTAATTGAGTTTTTGCTCTTGCTCTTCTGTTCGTGGAGCCAAAAGTTTCCGTTGCAAAAATTTAAAATCCTCACCCACACCGCAGAGCGTTTCCTGATTCTAATAGACTTCTGAGAAATTTTTAATCGAGTTATTGAAATATCAACTGGAGTACAGGGTGTACATCTTGGAAAGTAATTTTAATCTTGTGTGGAATACTGATGCCAGTAGCCACGTGGGCAAGGTTAAGCTATTCGAATTGGTTTCTTTGTTTTTTGTCTACAAAGATAGTTACAAATCATGAAAATCAGTCTGTTGTAATATGTGTGTGTGTGTGTGTATATACACACACGCACATATACATATATATATAATTATAGAGGCTGTTTCCCATGAGATTGAGCAATTCTCGGGACCTGGAGTGCTAGGGTTGGGGTAAGAAGCTCTCTGCAAAGGAGGGCCCAGTACAGAGGTCGCTGAGGTAGGGCCCTTCACGAAGTTTTACCTGTAGACCTAGAATTTAAACATGTGTCATCAGAGCTCACCTATCTTTCCATCTCAACAGTTGATTCAGGTTGCCCAATTGTCTTCACTGAATTCTGTGTAGTAATCAATCCTGTGAACATTTTTCTTTTGTCAGAGGTTCAGAAAGCTTTTCAAAGCCACCCCAAGATGCCAAAGCAGAACAAGAAACTACCCTCAAATTTCCATCTCCGCTGTATGGTGTTGTGACAAGTCCCAAGGGAAGTCCCTTCATAACTGATAAGAGCCCACTCATTTGAGAGAGGAAGATTGAAACCTCACATTCCCCAACAGGCCAAGGCTTACTGAAATCCTACAGCTTTTGAATTGGAGTAAACACACCTCTTGGAGACCACCACCCCCCAATCCATTAGTCAATACATAGGGTAGCAGAGAAGAAATGCAATTCACCACCCGATACTAAGAAAACTGAGTGAATCACTCTGAGCAGATCCCGTTTCCCCAGACCGATGTAATCACTTAACAAACTTAGGGTATAGGAAATCCCCAGTATGGTTCTGACCCTAATTAACTAGTCAAGAACTGGCAAGGCCTCTTCCTTTTTTTCTCTCAATCCTTCTCTGCCCTTTTGTGAACTTTTTTTCCCCCATTGAGGCTTTGTTGTGTATGTTAATCAGATTTCCCCTGATTAGGTAAGAGCAAAGTGAAGACAGGCCTACCAAAGCGTGGCTTGACCTAAACTGAATTCCCTGAGAGGGATTCTGTGGGCTCAGGCCTCACTCACCTCGTTAGGTCCTGCATTAAGCATGGATTCTATCTAAATAGGTATTTGAAAAATCAGCGTCCACAACCACCCCCTGCACCTGTCTTCTTACAGAGACATATTCTTTTGTTTGTTTGTTTTAGACAGAGTTTCACTCTTGTTGTCCAGGCTGGAGTGCAGTGGTGCAATCTCAGCTCACTGCAACCCCTGCCTCCCGGGTTCAAGTGAGTCTTCTGCTTCAGCCTCCTGAGTAGCTGGGGTTATAGGCGTCCACCACCATGCCTGGCTAATTTTTTGTATTTTTAGTAGACATGGGGTTTCACATGTTGGTCAGGCTGGTCTCGAACTCCTGACCTCAGGTGATCCACCCACCCTTGGCCTCCCAAAGTGCTGGGATCACAGGCATGAGCCACTGCACCTGGCCTATATTCTTTTTTTTTGTTTTCTTTTCTCTGATTTTTTTTTTTTTTTTTTTTCGAGACAGAGTCTGGCTCTGTTGCCCAGGCTGGAGTGCAGTGGCCGGATCTCAGCTCACTGCAAGCTCCGCCTCCCGGGTTACGCCATTCTCCTGCCTCAGCCTCCCTAGTAACTGGGACTACAGGCGCCCGCACCTCGCCTTGGCTAGTTTTTTTGTATTTTTAGTAGAGACGGGGTTTCACCGTGTTAGCCAGGATGGTCTCGATCTCCTGACCCCGTGATCCACCCGTCTCGGCCTCCCAAAGTGCTGGGATTACAGGTTTGAGCCCACCGCGCCCGGCCCTTTTCTCTCATTTTTTTGTTTTGTTTTGTTTTTTGTTTTTTGAGACAGGGTCTTGTTCTGTGGCCCAGGCTGGAGTGTAGTGGCAGCGTCATACCTCAGTGCAGCTGCAGAGCAAAACTCCTCCCGGGCTCAAAGTGATCCTTCCACCTCAGCCTCCCAAGTAGCTGAGACTACGGGCACGTGCCACCACACTAGGCTAACTCATTTTTTTTTTTTTTTTTTTTTTTTTTTTTTGCAGAGACATGATTTTGCTATATTGCCTAGGCTGGTCTTGGACTCCTGGCTTCAAGCAATCCTCCTTCCTCCGCCTCCCAAAATGCGGAGATTATAGGCACGAGCCTTTGAGCCTGGCCCAAGACACCTTCTTTGAAAAACTGCTTAGATTGCTCGTTTTCTTGGCCATACTTTGCAATAGCACAGAGACCTAGATTTTCATTTTGTCTTTCAAATTTCAGTGACTGAAAACACAAATAAATTCATTAGTAAATAGTGTTTGCTCTGATCTCATCACAAAATAAAATGTGACCTGCATGATATTCAAGGTTATCAGAAATAACACCTGATCACTGTGTCATTAGTAAATTATACGCCATTGTTAGTTCCAATGATATTTCCCTCTGTGGTCATTTACGTCTCAGTTGCATCCCCTTTTCTTTGATATTTGAAATAGTCTAATGATATATTTTTTAAACTACCCCTTCAACTATATACCTTTATAAAACTTCCTCTGGCCGGGTGCAGTGGCTCGCACCTGTAATCCCAGTACTTTGGAAGGCCGAGGCAGGCGGATCACTTGAGGTCCGGAGTTCGAGACCAGCCTGGCCGACATGGTGAAACCCTGTCTCTACTATGTCTCTACTATAAATACAAAAAAAAAAAAAATTAACTGGGCATGTTGGCACGTGCCTGTAGTCCCAGCTACTTGGGAGGCTGAGGCAGGAGAATTGCTGGAACCTGGGAGGCAGAGGTTGCAGTGAGCCAAGATCACACCACTGACTCTAGCCTGGGTAACAAGGGTGAGACACTGTCTCAAAAACATATATAAATAAAATAAAATAAAATTTCCTCTGTACACAACAAAAAGTAAAACTTTAAGCATGTAAAATTTGGAAATTTCCTCTTATTGAAAACGATAATGGGACCATGGAGCTAAACGTACAGCAGATTTAGTAGTTTGTAGAATTCCTTCATATTACTTCCTGATCATATATTACCTTCCCTAGTCACTTGATTAAAATTTCACGAGAACCCAGATTCAACTACAAGACTGTAGATTATGCAACCGAATGGCAATTTTTCTATTGGTAGTGTGTACTTTAACCTCTCCTGGACTTGTTTAGGCACTTTGTTAATTGTGCAGCTGGACTGACTCTAAATGAAAGAGGTTCAAATATCAGCCACTGAAAA